GCTTGGGGTTTCTACACGGCCTGGAGAGCATGAATTAGGATTCCATTTTCCCACAGATGCCCTGCAACCCCAAAATTTCTGTAGATGCCTATTGCAGAAAGCCTAATATCTCTGAATACTTTGGGGAAGTGCCTTTGATTATTTTAAATGGGCCCTGTATTAGTGAGAGTTCTTCAGAAAAGCAGAACCAATAGGGGGTGTGTGTGTGCGTGTGTGTGTGCGCATGTGTGTCTGTGATTATAATATATATGTATATTTAAACATACATGATTTATTGTAAGGAATTGGCTCATGCAGTTATGGAGGTTTAGAAGTCCTATGATCTGGCCAGTCCTGATGGCTCACGCCTATAATCTCAGCAGTTTGGGAGGCTGAGACGGGCAGATCACCTGAGATCAGGAGTTCAAGATCAGCCTGACTAACATGGAGAAACTCCATCTCTTCTAAAAATACAAAATTAGCCAGGTATGGTGGCACATGCCTGTAATCCCAGCTACTGGGGAGGCTGAGGCAGGAGAATCGTTTGAACCCCCAGGAGATGGAGGTTGCAGTCAGCTGAGAGGTTGCACTCCAGCCTGGGCAACAAGCGTCACCTCAAAAAAAAAAAAAAAAGAAGTCCATGACCTGCCGTCTGCAAGCTGGAGATCTGGAAAAATGGTGGTGTATTTGGAAGGCCTGAGAGCCAGGGAGCTGACAGTGAAGTCCAAGTCCGAAAGCCTGAGAATCAGGCGTGCAGAGGGCAGAGGAAGACCAGTGTTCCAGCTCTGCTGTCAGCTGAAGAGAACCTTCTTCCTCCGTGGGTTCTCCGCAGGCCCCAGGTGGATTGGATAATGCCCACTCCCATGCGGAGGGACACTTGCTCTACACAGTGGACTGACTCAAAGCTAATATTCCCAGAAACACCCTCACACGCACACCCAGAAATAACGTCAAACCGGATATCTGGGCACCTCATGTCCCGGTCAAATTGACACATCAAATTAACCGTCAGAGACGAAAACCGCTGTTGAAATGAAGGCCCTTACCGTAAGCTAACTTCATACAAGTGACTACTGGGAGCCCAGGCCTTCCCCACTAAGCCCTCTCCAAGAGTTTTGAGAATGTGTCCCGAGTTTTTAATGATGATCACTACTCATTCTTTATACAGTCTGACGCCATAGAGGGGGGCTTCCATGGAGCGAGGGCAGTGAGAATGAGGGGGCTCGGCTGCTGCCAGGCACCAGCCACCTCTAGCTCAGGGACGAGGGATCAATACACTTTCTGCATATTGCTCTCCATATCCTGCAGGTGGCAGCTGGACACAAGGCTGAGGCTCTGAGGACCAATGTCAGCCACTAAGGGGAGGACTCCATAGCATTCCAGGTGTTTCTGGGCACCGTGATGCCCGCTGTCAGGGAAGTTCACGATTGCTCTAGTTGCACAGGACAGAGGGGCAAAAGGAGAGGTGGACGGAGCCACAGACCTGCCCTGTCCAGTACAGTAACCATACCTACCGCTAACCACGTCTGCCGACAGACATTGACACATAAATTCATTAACATTGAATAAAATGTAAAATTCAGTTCCTCACTTGAACTCACCACATTTCCAGCCCTCGGCAGCCACAGTGGCTCCTGTATTGGCCAGGGCAGAGATGAGACATTTCCATCATCAGAAAGTCCCATGGGATAGTGTGACCCTGAACCGGGAGCTCCACCACCCAAACTCATCCCTGGATCATCCCATTCAGGAGGCCGTAACGCAGACCTCTGCTTGCCACCTTTTTTGAGAGCTAATTACTGCTCCCCAGGCTTCTCCTTCCAGCCTCAGGGCTTTGGAATGTGCTGTCAGCTCGGTCCAGGACACCCTTTCCTCAGGACCTACTTATCAAACACGGAGAGCTGTCCCAGAGCCAGCGGTGCCTGCCCGCATCCCTCGGCATCCACTTCTACGAGCCCAGGATGAGGCCATGCAGACAGAGACTTAGGGCCTGGTTCTGGTTGTAGGAATGCATTTAACCTTTGCACAGGTGGGCAGTCCTGGAGAGTTGATGCCCTCAGAAGCACCCCTCAGTCTCACCAACAGATGGGTGTTGGTGGTGGTAAAGCACAAACTTCAGCCAAATTACATCTAAAGGAGTTTGAGCAATGAACGATTCAGGAATCAGGCAGCCCCAGAATCACAGCAAATTCAGAGAGACTCCAGGGGTGCCTCATGGTCAGAACACATTTATACACCAAAAACGGGAAGTGATGTACAGAAATCAGAAGTGAGGTACAGAAACAGGTGGATTGATTACAGCGTTTGCCTTATCCAAACACAGTTTGAACACTCAACAGTCCATGAGTGGTTGAGGTATAGCTGCTGGGATTGGCTGAGACTCGGCTATTGTTACAGGTGCGTACTTCTAAGTTAGGGTTTCAATCTTGCCTGCCTATTAAGCTATGTTACAGTTCGTCCACGAGGACTCAAATATAGAAGTAAGCAGTCCTTCTCAGGCCACAGTTAGTTTGCTTTAACAGTGGATTGAGTACCCCCTTGAGGAAGATCACAGAGGTGGATCTTCCTGGGTTCTGATGAAGATCCCAGAGGCCTCCCAATCCAAGAGTGAGTTTCTATTGGTCCCCGGGGGCAGCTGGCCTGATGGGACATCTTTCACTGGCTTTCTCCACTTCCCCCACTGGTGTGTCTTCAGGTTACCTCCCAAATAAATGACTTGCACTTGAATTCTTAGAGTCTTGCTCTGGGGTAACCTGAGCTAAGACAAGGGCCTGCTGTGTGCCAGACACCATGGTAAGCATAGAAAAAAAGAGGTTTAAAAAATAACTAATGAACTCAGTTCCTCCCTCATGAGTTTGCAGGGAAATGCACAAGGCAGGCAGGGAAAGAGGCAATCCGGAGACTGGGGTAAATGGCTGTACCGCAGGAAAGAACCCAGCACAGCCTGGGAAGGGGAGAGGGCTAAGGACGGTTTCTAGGGCTGGGTGCAGTGGCTACACCCGTAATCCCAGCACTTTGGGAAGCCAAGGCAGGTGGATCACTTGAGGTCAGCTGTTCAAGACCAGCCTGATCAACATGGTGAAACTTTGTCTCTGTGAAAAATACAAAAAGTAGCCAGGTGTGGTGATGTGTGCCTGTAATCCCAGCTACTCAAGGAGCGGGAGCTGAGGCAGGAGAATCACTTGAACCTGGGATGCAGAGGTTGCAGTGAGCGGAGATCATGCCACCGCACTCCAGCCTGGGCCACAGAACAAGACTCCATCTCAAAAAAAAAAAAAGAACCGTTTCTGGGAGGGGGACAGTTAAGCCAGTGCTGCTGATGGAGAAAGGAATAAGAGCTCCAGACAAAAGCACTCCTAAAGAAAATGAATGGGGAGCCGCTGACATCGTTCAGGCTGGGTATAACATGATTGGACTGATACTTCACAAAGACCATCCTGGCAGTGATGCAGAGAAGGGACCGTGGGGGCAAGGATGAAAGCCCTGTGTCCACCTAAGAGGCTGGTGCAGGACTGCTGGTAAGGAGACAGATAAAGCACCAGTAGGTAGAGCCCAGGCACTGGGGCTGGGCAGAAGGTGAAGGATGAGAGGAGGGTTAATGCAGGACAGTTGCAGGGACCTGATGATCACTGAGCCACAGAGGCTGAGAGAGGCAAAGGCTTCAAGCAGATTCCCGTTTCTGACTTCAGAAGCAGCGTAGATGGTGCTGCCATTCCCTGCAACATAAAACACGGGGAGGAGTGGGTTTGAGGAAAAGATGATGGCTTTAAGTTTGGACATAGTTTTGAGGAGCCTGTAGTTCTCAGACAGTGGTGCCCAGACCGACAGCATCAGCATCACTGGGAACTTGTTAGAAATGCACATTCTCAGGCCCTGACGAATCAGGAGCTCTGTGGGTGGGCCCAGGAATCTGAGTTTTGTTTTCTTTTTGTTTGCTTGTTTGCTGAGACGGAGTCTCACTCTGTCACCAAGCTGGAGTGCAGTGGTGCAATCTCAGCTCACCGCAACCACTGTCTCCCAGATTCAAGAGATTTTCCTGCCTCAGCCTCCTGAGTAGCTAGGACTACAGGCACACACCACCACACTCAGATGATTTTTGTATTTTTAGTAGAGATGGGTTTCACCACGTTGGCCAGAATGGTCTCAATCTTTTGACCTTGTGATCCACCCACCTCGGCCTCCCAAAGTACTGGGATTACAGGCGTGAGCCTCCACGCCTGGGTTTTAATAAACTGTCTAGCCCTCTGGCTAGTGGTGTCCTGCCAAATGCTTAGCAACTGGCCCTCCAGGGACAGGGAGAAGCCCTGATGGGTGGTGTTTTCTGATTCCTGGGGTGCCAATCTCACCACAGCTGATTTCAAACTACCAATCTGGCATCACTAAACATGCATCGCTAAACGAGGACTTGGAAAGAGGTGCACAAAACTGTCTCTTGCAGCAGCAGCGTGAACAGCCTCCAGGTGATTGTGATGCACACCTGTGCCCCAGAACCACTGCTGAAAGCCAATTGCCTGGACGTATCTGGGAGGCAGGAAGACATATGGGTCTAAAGCTCAAGAGAAAGAACTGGGAGCCAGAAAAGGCTGTGGAAATGTCAGTGTATATACAACCACCTACCAGAAAAACACAGAGAGTGCAAAAATGAATACAACTCAGTCCCTGCCCCCAAGAAGCAGGCGGTCACATGGGGAGAAAGGCAAACAGGCACAGCAGAGGGAATGGGGGCTGTTCCCAGGAAGAATGGTGGGGGGAACAAAGGAAGGGTGATCCCTTCAATCTGGGGAGGTCAGAGAAGTTTCTTGGAGGAAATGGCAGGAGCTGGGTCTTTAAACACAGGAAAAGGGAGGGGATTAGGCAGGTCGGGAAGTGGGAGCCCAGCGTCCCAGGTGAATGAAAGGCAGAGTGGAGGGAAGAACAAGGTGTCTGCAGGGGCTTGTGGGGGAGTGTGCTGATCCATGGGGAACGAGGCCCAGTGGTGTGAGGTCCAAGAAGCCGGGAGAGAAGGGCCCTGGGCTCAAAGCTGATGAATCTGAACTTTATTTTAGAACATAATGAGGAATCATTCAAAAATGTGAAGCAGTGCCGGGTTATAATAATGTCGGAAGACTGTGAAGGTTCTGATGCCCTCTCCTGGATCATTGCATCCTATTGCCACTGTCATTCCTGTGCAATCTCCCAACACCAATTCCCCTCCCCAGAACTCTCTCACCTTGGCTCCCCTCTAGCCTACTTCTTATCATTGGAGGCTCAGCCAAGGGTCACCTCCTCCAAGGGGCCCTCCCTGGCTGTGACTTGACTTGAAATGGGCTTCCTTGGTCCTGTCTGTCACAGCAGCCCGTCCATCTCCTTGCTATAGATAGCACTAGCCACCAGCGATAATGATCTTAATTGTTTCTGTGGGGAAGGTAAAAAGTCATTACGTTTCAGTTCCCATAACTGGACTGTAACTAAATTCAACTTTGTCCTCCAGGTCCTCTGCTGACTCTCTCCCAAGCCACGATATTGGGTTCAATTTCATAGATGTCTTTTCAGCTCAATTTAAATATTATCTCATTCACTGTTCCGTTCAGAGTGTGGTTGCTTTAAGAAAAATAGTTATTCAGAGTTTTCTTCCCCATTCTTCTGTTCTTATCTTTCTTTTCAACTGGCATCTGGACACAAGGGTAAAGTGCACACATCTGAGTGATCAAGAGCGGGACTGGAGGGGAAGAAGGGGCAAGAGGGGAGTTTCTTAACACCACCCTTCAGTCTTCGCTGGTCCCGTCTGCAGCAAGGTGGGTCTGGTTGCCCCAAGAAGCTGACTGCTGCTGCTGGTGATAGCAGAGCGCTTTGCCACCACCTTCAGCAAAGAGGCCTTTGTCCAGGCTCCTAGCCTCTTCCTTCTCCCTGAAATGCTATTTCCTCCTCCTGTCTGGAAGGATCCCCCATTATAGCACATCTTCCTTTTTGCAATGAACTTATTGGTTTTGGGCAGTTTCTCTCTCTCCTTCCTTAGGCTGTCGGCTTCATGGTTCAGCCTTAATGATGGAATGCTGCAGGAGAAAAGAGAGTGGGGAGAGGCAAATTATTGAAAAGGAAGACACATCAGAAAAATTTCTTTTTTTTTTGAGACAATGTCTCCCTCTGTTGCCCAGGCTGAAGTGCAGTGGCACCATCTCGACTCACTGCTACCTCCACCTCCCAGGTTCAAGCAATTCTCCTGCCTCAGCTCTCCGAGTAGCTGGGATTACCGGCACCTGCCACCATGCTTGGCTAATTTTTGTATTTTTAGTAGAGATGGGGTTTCACCATGTTGGCCAGGCTGGTCTTAAATTCCTGACCTCAGGTGATCCTCCCGCCTTGACCTCCCGAAGTGCTGAGATTACAGGTGTGAGCCACTGTGCCTGGCCCATCAGAAATACTTCAAAACCGTTTTTTGGGCTGCATTTATCTGCTAATTGGCTGTCTCCATCCCTAGAACAGAAACTTCCTGAGGGCTGGGGCTTGTCTTTCTTATTCACAATCCCATCTTCCACACCTAGTAGAGTGCCTGGTGCTACGTAAATGTAGTTAAATAAATAAATGAAGATGTGAAATGGTTACATTTGTCTTTGAGAGTGGCCGATTGATTTTTTTTTTAAGGTTGAGCTTGGAGATGTGGAAACATGGACTAAGGTTGTAAACTGAGGTGGGTAATGACAATGAGATGGAGCTTTATTAAGAACTGAAGTATAGACAGCAAAAAAAAAAATTGACACAGTCATCAAAATTTAAAACTTTCATGCATCAAAGGACAGTACCAGCAGAGTAAAAAGGCAACCCATAAAATGGGAGCAAATCACATATCTAACAAGAAATTGATACCCAGAATATGTAATGAACTCCTGAAACTCAACAACAAAAAACCAGAACAATTAAAAAATCATCAAAGAATACGAATAGACATTTCTCTAAGAAAACATACAAATGGCCCATAAGCACATGAAAATATTTCTTAATATCAACTCACACCAGGGGAATGCTAATCAAAACCACAATGAGATACCACTTCATACCCATTAGGATGGCTATTATAAAAATAACAGGCCGGGCAAGGGGGCTCACGCCTGTAATCCCACCACTTTGGGAGGCTGAGGCGGGTGGATCACCTGACGTCAGGAGTTTGAGACCAGCCTGGCCAACATGGCAAAACCTTGTCTCTACTAAAAATACAAAAATTAGCCAGGTGTGGTGGCAGTTGCCTGAAATCCCAGCTACTCAGGAGGCTGAGGCAGGAGAACTGATTGAACCCAGGAAGACAGAGGTTGCCGTGAGCCAAGATCGCACCACTGCATTCCAGCCTGGGTGTCAGAGCAAGACTCCATCTCAAAAATAAATAAATAAATAAAATAAAAACAACCGAATCCCAACAGAAAACAATAGGTGTTGGGTGAGGAGATGGAGAAATTGGGACCCCTGTACATGGCTGGAGGAATGGCACAGTCATTATGGAAAACGATTTAGCACGTCCTCAAAAAATGAAACATAGAAAATTGCGTTTCCAGAAGAATCAAAAGCAGGGGCTTGAATAGCTATTTGTACACCATGCACATGGCACCATTATTCACCATAGCCAAAAAGTGGAAACATCCTAAGTGTCCAGACGCAGTATATTCATACAACAAAATATGACTTAACCTTGAAAAGGAATGAAATTCTGAGACATGCTACAACCTGGATGAATCGTGAAGATCTTATGCTGAGTAAAATAAGCCAGACACTAAAGAACAGATATTGTGTGATTCCTCTTATACGAGGTACCTAGAATATTCAAAATCATAGAGACAGAAAATAGAATAGAGATGACCAGGGGATGGGGGAAGACAGAAATGGGGAGTTATTAATTGGTGCTTAGGTTCAGTATGGGATGACCAAAAGGTTCTCAAGACGGATGATGGGGTTGGTTGCTCAACAGTGTAAATGCACTTAATGCCTCTGAATTATACACTGATAAACGGTCAAGAGAGTACATTTTATGTTATCTATATGTTACCACTACCAAATAAAGACCGAGAAGGAGGGAAAAAGAGAAAGAACTGAGAGAACATTTTTTTTTTTAAGATGGAGTTTTGCTCTTGTCTCCCAGGCTGGAGAGCAATGGCACGATCTCAGCTCACTGCAACCTCCACCCCATGGGTTCAAGCGATTGTCCTGCCTCAGCCTCCCGAGTAGCTGGGACTACAGGTGCCGCCACCACATCCAACTAATTTTTGTATTTTTAATATAGACAGGGTTTCACCATGTTGGCCAGGCTGATCTCAAACTCCTGACCTCAGGCGATCCACCTACCTCGGCCTCCCAAAGTGCTGGGATTACATGTGTGAGCCACCGCACCTGGCCCTGAGAGAACTTTTGACCCACTGGCTTGAGTGACTGGGCAGAAGATGGAGTCGTTCACCAATAATATAATTTCAAAGGAAGATTCAGGTGTGGGGGTGAACTATGAGGACCTCCATTCTGGATGGCTGAATTTGAAGTCCTGGGGGACCCCCATGCAGTGAAATCTGGGAGGCAGCTAATGTTGCTCTGAACCTCTGAGGAGACATAACTTTAAGAGTCATCCACATCTAGAAGATATTTGAAGCCGCAGGACTGAGAAGACAGTGGAATAAGAGTGAATAGAGAGAGAAGAAGCATGGCCAAGGATGGAAATCTCGAAAATACCAGCATCTTCTCCTCCAGTCCCTCTCCCTGTGTCTGCCTGGGAAATGTTTCCTCATTCACCAATACTCACAGCCTCAGCTTTTGTGTCACCTTCTCTAGGAAGCCCTTTCTGACCTCGCCAAGCAGAGTGGAGCATTCTCTACTGTGGGTTCCCACAGTGCCTTGTTTTCACCAAGGTTGTAGCACCCGTCACGTGGCTACAACAATGTGCCTGTGTGTTTCTATTCCTCTTCCTCGGCTCCCCGTACCTCCAAGGCCAGGGTTGACTTCTAGACATCATTGAGTCCACAGCCTGGCACAGTGTTCAGTAAAGGTTTGTGGGGTGAATGAATAACTGATGGAGCATTTTTCCCTGAGGCTTGTGATGTCATCTCTATTTCACGTCCTTTTGGAAGGAGACTCTCCTGCCTGGAAGTATACTGCTTCTGGAAGAAGCTGTCTAGCCAGCCAAGTGAGAGTGACCTGCTTAAGAAATAAGACCCAATCTCCATGGCCTGGCCTTCAAAGTCCCCTGTGGGAAATAACCATTCTTTTCTCCACTGCCTATTAAGATCCTAGCTTTCCTGATCACCTCCTCTCTTGAAAGGAATTGCTCCAACTCTCTCAATTCCTCTTCTGATCTCTTTCGTGACATTTTAATCAGATTCTACCTTCTCGTATTTATATGCTATGTCATCTCCTCAACTGGACTTCAAGCTTCTATGGCCATTTTAATTGCCATAGCATCTCGAGCATAGTAGATATGGATTCTCAGTAATAGTCACTGAATGATGAAAGAAACTATTTTATGAAATTCACAAAGTGCCTGGTCTTTTAGATAACTGGACAGTGGGAAATTAACTGAAAACTCTGATAAGGGAATCTTTGTATTAGTTAGCTTTCATTGTGTAACAAACTACCCCAAAACTCAGTGACTCAAAACCACAGTTTTTTATTATTATGTCTTGCCTTTCTTTTGGTTGACAGGGGTTCTGCTAATTTTACTGGGGTTACTTCTGCATCTTGAGGTTGCTTGGAGGTTCTTCTCCAGGCTGGACTTGGCTAGGACACCTTGGTTGGGACAACTCTGCTCTGCATATCTCTCATTCTCTTCCTATGATCAGTGAAGCAGCCCTCAATATTCTTTTTTTAATTAATTAATTTTTTTTTTAGAAACAGGTATTGCTGTGTTGCCCAGACTCCGGACTCAAGCGATCCTCCTGCTTTGGCCTCCTGAGTTGTCAGAATATTCTCCTTATGGCAGTGGAAGGAATGCTAGAGAACAGGGTGAATCACGTGAGCTTCTTTTAAAGATCCTGCTTGTCTCACATGTCTGCTGGTATCCCACTTCTGGGGAGCAGGGAATTCCAACACGCCAAGGGTGCAAAGTCACCTGGCAACAGACAAGGCTACAGGGAGGAGAAAAGGACTGGAACCATTCACACAACCTGCCATGGCCTTCCTCCAAGTTTTGCCTTCAGTGGGGCGAAGAAAGTGAACATTCGCTTTGTGCTCTCCATTCACTCCTCACCTCTTGAAGGATTTGTCACTTTGGGGTGAATTTCATGCCACATTGACTGAACTTTTGGAATGTCACTTCCTCAGTGAACTTAGCGCCTTGCACATTCCTCTGTTATAACATATTCTCCATGGCTCTATAGCTGGTTATTTGTGTGTCTGTCTTCTCTATTCCACTGGGAGCTCCTGTTTCGGTCCTAAGTGGATATCAATAAACATCTCTTGAATGCTGTATGAACGATGGCACATTCCTGGCCTCCGTGACCTCTCTTTTCTCTGACGTCCTCTACACGTTCTTTCGACCCTTCATCTCAGCTTCTGAGTATTGCTAGTTAATCTGTTATGTTTACAATTCACCGTTTGCGAAGTTACCTGGCTGTGGTTCCTATTCATTCAAGAATTGTAGAGTGAATAGAGAGCACAAAACAAATGTTCCCTTTTTCCGGGCCACTGACGGCAAAACTTGGAAGAAGGCTGTGGTAGGTTGTGTGGAGGGTCCCAGTTCCTTTCTCCTACTGACCTATCAGACTCTAGTCATTCTCAGAAGACTACATGGAGTACACACACGTGCATATGCTCTTTTCCCATTCTGTGCTCCGAAGGCAGTTTTGGGAAATCCTTCAGTAATGCTGTCATGTTTGTTTGGATACTCTTGAGGTTGACAAATCTTTGCCTTGTTAAGGTGGATGGAATTTTTGGAAACAGCTAACAGTCATTTGGATCCAAAGCTGGTGACTAAGGTGGGTGATCAAGCAAAAATGAAGTGTGGGGGCAAAAATGAAGTGTGGTCAGGAAGAAATCAGCCTGAGATTCTCTCATAGCTTTAAAGCTGTCCCCAAGGACAGCCTGCAGA